CATGGACAGAATGTTGGTAGAAATAAGAATGATAAGGGCCATTTTGATGAGGTTTCAGATAGAAATGAGGAACATATTATCAGACAATGGCAAAAAGATGATCCTTATTATAAAATGTCAAAGAATTTGGCTGAATTGTTTTCACGTTCTAGTGTTTTGTGGAAGACCGAATTTGTGAGTGATAAAATGGATATTTCACTGAAGAGACATCTAAGCAAAATGTTGAAGAAGTGGCTTGGTTCCTCCTAACTGCTCACAGTAAAATGTGAGAAGCGAGAAATGACTTAAAGATGGAATTTTTAAGCAAAAGGAACTAGAACATAATTATCTGAAAAATTCTCAAACTATCTGTATTGCAAAAAAATATGAGAAGCACGTTTGGAAGGGGACACTCAGGGTGGGCGGCCAAGAAACCATTCAATAAGGAGATTAGGTGTGAACCATGAATTTAATCAGCTCCCCAGAGATAAACTGACAGTTTAACTTGAAGAGGAAGGAGAGGGAAGGAATGAAGGAAGGATGTCAGAAGTCTTGGATTTTACAGGACAGTACCTTAGAGCTATTTAGCTGCAAATGTGCACTCTTCTCCAAGACAAGGGAAGAATGACCATGAAAGCAATTCACAGATCATCAGGGCTGCCTCCTTAGTTTTGAAATGAGGTTGTTGCCTTGTTTTCAACGGGTCAGAGGATCCTCACTCAAAGCTGTGCAGGCTTGACTCCAACCCAGCAAGACCCTGGGGGCAGGACCCTGCCTGTCAGAGCCACAGGATAGGCGCTGCAACCTCAGTGGGTGTGGAAGGTGAGACTGCCACACGGGGTCCCAAAGGCAGGACTGTTTCTCCAGCAGGCCTGGAGGAAAGAGTGCAGAGATAGGACACTTAAGAACCCATGGAGTTTGCCTTGCTAGATTTGGGATTATTTGGGACCCGTCAGCCTTTCCTTCTTCCCTACTTTTCTCTTTTGGAATAAGAATATCTACCCCATGATTGTTCCACCATTGTATTTTGGAAGTGCATAACTTGTTTGGTTTTATAAGTTCACAGCTGGAGAGGAAATTTGCCTCAGGATGAATTGTATGTGGAGTCTTACCCATATCTGATTTAGATAATACTTCAACAAGACTTCAGACTTTAGACTTTGGAGTTGATACCAGAATGAGTTAAAAATTGGTGGTGGGGCTGGGGGGCTGTTGAAATGGAATGACCAACAGTATTTTACATTTGAGAAGGACATGAGTTTTCAGGACCATGGGCAGAATGTGACAGACTAAATTTGTGTGTCCTCCCGAAATTCATATGTTGAAATCTAATCCCCAGTATGGTGGTATTTGGAAATGGGACCTTATTAGGTCATGAGGATGGAGTCCTCATTAATGAATGGGATTAGTGCCCTTATAAGAAGAGGCCAGAGAGCTAGCTTGCTTTCTCTACACCTTGTGCGGATACAAAAAGAAGTCATCAGTCTGAGAGCCAGGAAGAAGGTCCTCACCAGAACCCAACCAACCTAAGCTTGAATTTTCAGCCTCTAGAACTGTGAGAAATAAATTTCTGTTGTTGATAAGCACCCAGTCTACGTTATTTTGTTAAAGCAGGAAGGTGACTAAGATACCTTCCTTTTATCTCAAATGCTCTCTTAGCTACTAAACAGATCTCATATAAACACACTAATTATGTCTGTTTTGAGGATCTAGCAGGAAAACACAGCTCCAAACACTAAAGAGCCTTTCTTTATTTGTGACTGCCATCTTCTTTGACAGACCAAGCAGCTTTGGAAGATCTGTGAGGGAAAACAAGGTCACCACCTAGCCAGCCAGTCTACCTTCACACTCACAGGAGACTTTATTAATTGACAGAGAGATGTCAGTTTCCCTTCCAATTTCTGAAATTTCCTTTTCACTCACTATTCCATTTAGTGCATAGGCTTGGCTTTTACACATTAAGCATGATTTTTTTCTAAAATAATTACACAAATACCTCTAAGAATGTTGGGTCTCAATATAGAAGCATGGTCAATAAAGTAGATGACCCTCTGCTGAAAATGACCCCCCAGCTTTACCCCCACCCACAGCAGCCCCCGTAGCTAGGCTTGTATTCTTTTACCCTCCCCTCTAAGTTTAGCTGATCAGAAGTCTGAAGATGTCACAGTCGATCCTCCTACATGGGCATTTAAAGCTGAATTTCTTGTTTGGTCACTTCAACTGAGGCCTTACAAATTTAGAAGAAATAGGGTGATCCTTTGCCATCTTATATGTAGAAAAACAGAGAAAGCAGATTTATAAGTTAGGTTGCAGATTCTGGCTTCCTCAGTAAAAACCCAATATAATACTAGCTCAGACGAGATCTGTTTCCTTTTTATATAAGAGTCTGAGGCTAAGCAGTTGGGTCAGGGCTAATAATCACATTAGCTCCATGGAGTTGGGGACCCAGGCTCCTTTCACCTGTTTCTCTGCCATTCTCCACCTGTAATTCTATTGCTAGGTTAAAGTCAATGACTTCAACTCCTGCCATCTTATTCACACCCAGGCAGCAAGGAGGGAAAAAGAGGAAAGGAGGCGCCCATTCCTTTCTATTTAAGAGTGTAACCTGGAAGTTGTACATACCATTTCTGCCCATATCGCATTGGCTAGAGCCTAGTAAATGCCTACAATTACCGGCAAGGGAAGCTTGGAAGTGCATCTGTCAGCTGAGTGACCAAGTGTTCAGCTAATACTCTCTTTTCAGAGAAAAAGGGGAAGAGTGACATCACAGGTACAACAAGCAGCCTCTGCTCATCTCCACAAATAAAACTGATCTCCAGGAAGTGAGCATAAAGTTGAGGCTCAGAATAAAAGCAGCTGTGAGAGACTTGGGGCCTCCAAGAGACAAGGAGAGCAACACTGGTTCCTGTTAGCATCCAGTTCTTGGGTTCTATCCCTCATTAAGACACAGAAGCTTCCCTTCCCTTGTGTATAATAAACTCCTGGCTTTGCATAAGCCAGCCCAAGTGGCCTTCTGTTCCCTAATACCAAAACGTCTTGTCTAATACAAACTCATTATGTGCTCCTGGAGGGCGAGGGTCACATTTTACTTTTTTATTCCTAACCCAGGGTTTAGGTAGCACCAATGCTCAGTAAAGAAATACTGATTTGACTTAAGGTATTGCTTCCTTTTGCAGCTGGATGCATTTGCTATCTGTCTCCATCATTTTTTTTGCCAGTTATAGAATGTAGGCTTCCAAATTCCCTCAAAGAACAGAGAAGGTGGAGTCATGAGGAGATGAAGGAATGTCTTAATTTGAGAACTGAAGAGGAAAATACTAACAGTTTTGGCACAGCTCTTCCCTGAAATCTGTCAGCGCTGAGGGAAGGGCCAGCAGCAGTAATACAACAGCAATCTTCATGGCACTGTCAGGCAAATCAGGAGGTCTACAAAGGGCCTGCTTCTCTCCTCTGTGGACAAATGCTTGTGGCTGTGAGTTAAATACCAGCGCAATCAGCTCACTCTCAAATGAAACTGCTCTAGCCCAGACTTGGAGAACAGTCTTGCATGAAACTTTTTTTTCCCCAGTGTTTTAAATTTAACCAGCTGGAAAGGAGTATCATTTTATTAAATCTTTTTGGCTGGGCGTGGTGGCTTATGCCTGTAATCCCAGCACTTTGGGAGGCCAAGGCAGGTGGACCACCTGAACTCAGGAGTTCAAGACCAGCCTGGCCAACATGGCAAAACCCCATCTCTACTAAAAATACAAAAATTACCAGGCATGATGGTGCACGCCTGTAATCCCAGCTACTCAGGAGACTGAGGTAGGGAGAATTTCTTGAACCCGGGAGGCGGGGGTTGCAGTGAGCCAAGATTGTGCCACTGTGCCTGGATGACAGAGCAAGAACTCTGTCTCAAAAAAAAAAAAAAAAAAACCCCAATTTTTTAAAATGAAAGATTTGCTTTTTTAGTGGGAAATCTGCATTCTATCAAAGGGATAAAAGATAATGCTTGACTAGTTCATTTGATACAAAGGCGAGCACAACACTACCCAAACACACGCTTTTGTTGATCATTTTTGACAGAAAATAAAGCACAGGGTTTTGAGAGGTTTGCCTAACAAGGGCTTTTAAGCTGCATTCTGTGGTATCATAACAAAAACTGCAGGGTTCATGTTAAACCAAATAATTTTACATGTCAGCCTGGCATGTAGAAGGTATTCAGTTAGTTCTTGCTGAATGAGTATATTTCAAACTGATGCTGAAAGAATAGTCTGGAAACATCTATATGTGATACATTTACATTTGACTCTCAAGCCATACAGAATTTGTTACTGAATGCCAAAATTAGCTTCATAGACACTGGGAAGGAAATCAAGACTACTGGGGAGGGAATGGGGTAGAAAGGGAGGTGTGTGGAGTAGGAGGGGGAACCAGGGAGCTTTCACTGTACAATGACCTAAAAATTGTAAATTACCGCATTGCTGCCTTCTGCTTTACACCAGCTTGTCCAACCCGCAGCCTGCGGGCTGCATGCAGCCTAGGATGGCTTTGAATATGACCCCACACAAATTTGTAAACTTTCATAAAACATTATGAGATTTATGCTTAGGTCTTTTTTTTTATTATTTTCAGCTCATCTTCTGTCATTAGTGTATTTTATGTGCGGCTCAAGACAGTTCTTCTTCCAGTGTGGCCCAGGGAAGCCAAAAGACTGGACACCCCTGCTCTATACATCTATATGGTACAGTTCATAATTTTATTATTATTATTATTATTATTTTTGAGACGAATTTCACTCTTGTTGTCCAGGCTGGCGTGCAATGGTAGAGTCTCAGCTCACTGCAACATCCGCCTCCCAGGTTCAAGCGATTCTCCTGCCTCAGCCTCCCAAGTAGCTGGGATTACAGGCATGTGCCACCACGCCCGGCTAATTTTGTATTTTTAGTAGAGACGGGGTTTCTCCATGTTGGTCAGGCTGGTCTCGAACTCCCAACCTCAGGTGATCTGCCCGCCTTGGCCTCCTAAAGTGCTGGGATTACAGGTGTGAGCCACCGTGCCCCGCCTACGGTGTATAATTTTTACAGTGTTGAAGATTCTTAACATTTTTATGATTTTAGAGAAGGGTCATTGAGGATAAAATGCTGCTTGGAGCGTTTTTATCCTTTACTCATTTAAGAACATGTTTTCAGATCCTATGTTTCTGAGTCAGTTTTTGAAAATGATATGTTTGTTTACCTACATTAAATTAGATGATGCTGTGATACCATTCTTTCCCAAACAAATATGTTTCCTTCAGAGATAACTAGTTCAGCCGATCCCCAGGTTCAATGAGTCACTAAGAGGACTTACGGGACTCAGCCTACTATCATGTAACGCTCATGGCTATGATTTATTCCAGCAAAAAGATAACAAGCACAATCAGCAAAGAGAAAAGGCATCTGGGGTGAAGTCTGGGGAAAACCAGGCACAAGCTTCTAAGGCTCCTCTGTCAGTAAAATCACAAAGGATAAATTAACCCCCCAGCAAGAGTTCTGTATGTGAAAACAAGTGTGAAATGTTGCCAACCAAGGGAGCTCGTTAGACAGGGTTTCTAACGGAGCCTGGTCATGTAGGCAGCCCCAAGCCAGCACATATGGAAATTCTGGCTACCCAGAAGAAAGCAGGTGTTCAGCACAAACTACATTGTTTGCACAAACAGTCTGGCACAATGAACCACTCTTATCAGTTAATGGTGGGAACCCTCGCAAAAATCTCAGTTCTCTCCCAGACACCAGCCAAGGGCCAACCTTGCAAGCCGGCCTTTTCACGGGCAGTAGTTGGGGACTGCTAGGTTAATTATTTTCTGCACAACATCATCAACAGAGTGTCAATAATCATGATAGTGACATTTACAAGTTTGATGGGGTTCTTTTCCCCCAAAACTGATGTCTAGTCCCTTTCTTTATCATGAAATTAACATTTATGGAGCCCTTACCACATGCCAGGCACATGGTTTAAAACTTTTAATATTTACAGTAAATGGGTCCTGTTTCTGTCACAGTTTTACTGATGAGAACATTTAGATCCAGGTGAATGAGTTAAGTAACTTACCCAAAATCTCACAACTAATAATTTGTAGTGCTGGGATTACCACGAGGGCCTAACTCTAGAGTAGGCACTGGGGAAGTTCTCAACAGTTTCACCATACACCTTCCCTTTCTTTTCTTTTCTTTCTTTTCTTTCTTTTTTTAAAAAATATGGTCATCAAAAGCAATTACACATTCACACACACACACACACACACACACACACACACCCCATATCTCCCCATTTTGTATGGACAGAACACAAATACAACCAGGTATATAACATGGTGCAGATTGGCCTTCCAATATGTGTTGAGATGAATGAGTAATGAAGCACAACATCTGAATGTCTATCATTTAAGTCCTGCATCCTTAAAATATCAACATCATGTCAACTCCTGAAACTCAGTAGAAGGACCCTAATGAAAGAAAACCTAGGCAAGCCTCACCGATAAGTGCTTTAGTTACCTGTCCATTTGGACCTGTTTTGTTGTTGTTGTTGTTGTGGTTGTTTTGTTTTTTTTTTTTTTAGTATCTTTTGAAATTGAGAAAACTGAATGTCGTATTTGAAATAATGCACATATTCATCACCAACAATTTTTTTGAGTCCTTACAATGTGCAGAGCACAGAATTACTGCTCTCTTTTCAGAGATGTGTCATCAGCAGCTCTGTTGGAACTACCCTAGAAAATTTGGCCAAGGTTCTTGCTCTTGCTGTGTCTGGTCAAACCAGCAGGTTTGATCTGGGAATATAACCTCAATACGTGCCACCCGTGTTTTCATCAGAAGGGAAGGGATATAGCCTTCATCAAGTTGGACTAAATGATCTTCCCTGAATGGATTATCCAAGACAGCTGCTCAACAAAAGAAACCACTGCTAGCTCTCTGCACATAAAATAAATTTTTTTAAACTTCAAAAAAATTAAAATAAAATAAAGCCAAGAGCCATGAACAATTGAAAGCATCTGATGCCTGCCTGGTGTTCCCGGTTCCCGCTGGAGCTCAGCTTCAGCCCAGGTGAGGCCAGACACTGTTGTCATACAACAGGCTTAGCCAAACATGTGGATTTGATTTGTCAGAAAGTCAAATTGGGGACTCCAGTGCCCTTTGAAAGATGTAATCTGCTCCAGAGACCTTGCAAAGGGCATGGCTGACCTTGCATCTGTTGTGAAAGTGGTAATACCCTCAAGGCAGGGAGGAAAGCAAGTTTTGACACAGCAGAATTGAGAAGCACGAAGCTGCCAGGAAACCAGAGGCAGAAATTTCTTCTTTGCAATTGATTCTTTCAGGACGCTATCCCAAGGTAATAGTAAGACCTAATGTATACGATGCTTTACTGTTTTTTTTTTCAAAGTACTCTCATATGTATGATCTCACATCCTCTTCAAAGCAGCCTGGAAAGGAGGCCAGATCTGCATTATTATGCCCATTTTACAGATGTGACATAGGCATAAGGATAATTTGACTTTTCCAATATCTTGGAACTAGTGACTTGTCTTTCAGTCTTGGTCAGTGCTGCTCAATCTTTAATGTGCAGACAAACCACTTGGGGATCAGTAGGTTCAGCAGGCCTTCGGGGGAGCTCAAGAGTCTTCATTTCTAACAAGCTCCCAGCTCATACAATAAGAAATCAGAATGCAGAATGCATTACTTTTAAATTGGTTATTTTTTCTTATTGTGAAATAAAGCCTACAGTCACAAAGAGCATAAAATTGCACAGATGCTTAAAAATATTATTATAGTCCAAATAGCATGTGACCTACTACCTGGGTAAGAATTAGAACATGACCTGAAGGCTTCTCCCTCATGGCACCTCACCCCCATTAGCCCTCTCTCTCCTCCCAGGAGAAAACACTGTCTTGGCTTTTGTAATAATTATTTTCTAGCTTTTCTCCAGGAAATGGATTTTTTGAAGAGTTTTTGTTGCTGTTGCCCTGGTCCCTGATACTTTGAAATCAACAGTATTTCACACATGAGAAAGGTGCACAGGCCAAAGAGGCAGATCTGATCTTTTGAAATCTTTAGTAGGAAAATCCCCTAGAGGAGTCCAGCTGGGGCTTGCTCTGAAAAAGTGTTCAGAAAGAGAGGGTATTACCTGCACAAAATACTCACTTTAGGAATGGGGTGTCGTGGGAAAAAAATGGACTCTGGCTCCTTGCTACTATGTCAAGTCAATATTTAACAAATCAGTTAGAGACATTTGGAGTCTAATTCTGATGGCGGGACAGATAAGAAATGTCAGTATCCAGACGAGATACTGAAATAGACGAGGAGGACGTTACTAAATGTTCTGTCTGCCTTAGGTAGTCTCGCTTGCAGCGTTTCCTATTCCTTTCATTTGATGAAATCATCAAGCCTAATTTTCAAGAAAACAAAATTTCCTAAAACAACTGCCTGTAAATATGATCTTTCCTTTGTTCAGCCCCCCGTCTGATTAAAAGTTGGACTGGCAGCACATTCAAAGGGGCAAGAGCATAAGAGCTGCCAGTGGTTGTGCTTAATACCAGGTGTCTAGGAAGTCTTGATGTAACAAACAGAAGGATGGAAATTTCTCAGATAGCTTGTGACTAGGTCTGGGAGCTTAACAGAGAAGAAGGCCAAAAAAGACTCCTGCTTCTCTAGAAACCGACTCTCCCTCAGGCAATCTGTACTATGTGTGTATCAGTTAACCATTGCTATGTAACAAATCATCCCAAGATGTAGTAGTTTAAAACAACAACCACCATTTCTCATGATTCCTTGATTTGGCTGAGAGATTGTGGTGCTGGTCTTCCCTGGGCATACTTTGGCTGAGGGCCAGCTGGGCTGGAAGGACCAACATGGTTTCACACACAGAGTTGACAGTTGGTGCTGGCTGTTGTCTTGTTGTCTTGGGTACCTCAGATTTCCTTTTTTTTTTTTTTTTTTTTTGAGACGGAATCTTGCTCTGTCACCCAGGGTAAAGTGCAGCGACGCAATCTCAGCTCACTGCAAGCTCTGCCTCCCGGGTTTACACCATTCTCCTGCCTCAGCCTCCCGAGGAGCTGGGACTACAGGCACCTGCCACCACACACGGCTAATTTTTTGTATTCTTAGTAGATATGGGGTTTCACTGTTAGCCAGGATGGTCTCGATCTCCTGACCTCGTGATCTGCCCGCCTTGACTTACCAAAGTGCTGAGATTACAGGCGTGAGCCACCATGCCTGGCCGGATTTCCTCATTCTTAAATGTTAGACCCAGGAATGCTAAATATTCAAGATTTTAATGAGCCTCAGTTATTAAACCACTGGTAGCTTGAAATCAGCCACAGTGGGAATACTTTTACCACAAAAACAAGCAAATGCTTTAAATCAAGTCCCTTTCTGTGGAGTGCTGGTTTAGCGGAACACTACTGCCTACATCTGTGTGTGCCTTGTAGAGCCGTGCACCACGTGGCTGCCAGGTATGTCTGTTAAATTGAATCCTCAGTTAAGAGACAGAGAGTTGTAAACAATGCTGCAGTCTTAGTGTCAAAAAATCTCCAAAAACTTATAAAATTAGGGGACTAGATCCAAGATAGCTGAGTTTCTTTTGGGGATATGCAATGATCACCTCTCTCTCTCTCCCCCTCTCTCTTTCTCTTTCTTTCTCCCTGCATATTGTAAACAGCATCAACAGCTCTGTTAATTTAAACTGTTACGGTTTTTGGATGGGGAGTTTCTGACTCTGGCGTGTGTAATTATACACTTATATCCTGAAATATAAATGTAATCATCTAGCTTCCCACAGGACAGGAGTCCATAAAGCTACACTGATGTGTCTGAGAGAGATATGAAGGTGAAGAAGAGATAGGACAGTCAAGAGGCACGCCTCGCCGTGTATCTTTATTTCTGTCCTCACTGTGTTGTCTGTGTTCTGGCATATTTTGACTTGCGCCTTTCTTTGGCTGCCTCTGCACATATCTCTGTCTCTTCTGCTATTGACTAGAGTGGCTAGTTTGTCTAGTTTGTTCTGAATTTGTTTGGGTCCCCCTCAGCTCTCTATCCTGGTGAAAGAGGAGTATGCATAGCAAGGTTGGTTAGTTGCCTTTTCTGCATAGTTTGCTGTTTCTTGGCTAAGGATTCCCCAGGGCCTTGGAAAGCACCGGCCCGCTGCATTTGCAGGACTTGTTTGCATCCAAAAAATGACTAATTAGGTCTTTGGGACTTCCTTACGTTACTATCCCAGGTATCTTCTTTGCTTCTTCCACTGCTTTTTTTTTCCTTTTTTGACTGGCCCGAGAAAAGTAAAGAACAAAAGTAAAGCTCGTAAACATAGTCTGTCCACTTTTAGTTGTGTTGCAAAACAGCCTCCTGTGCTGCTGGCTTTCCTTCCTTTGCCCAGTCTTAAATGTTAGCGCTCCCCAAGGTTTTGTCTTCTGACCTTTGACTTCTGCCTCCTCTCACTTACTGGGTGGTCCTGGGTGATTTAATCCACTCCCAGTTACTGAAACTGATGGCTCAAGTCAGAGAGCCCCAGATCCATGTATTCACTTACCTACTGGATATCTCTACTGGAATATCCCATATGTTCTCAATGCTTACATTCTGATTGAAAATCAATGCCTATTTCCTTAAACCTCAGTTTATAGGAGTCATTCTAGACATCTTCTCCCTCACCTTCATACTGATCCTATTGAGTCTACCTGTTTCAGTTCTCCATTGCTGTATAAAAAACTACCCTAGGCCAGGTGCAGTGGCTCATTCTTGTAATCCCAGCACTTTAGGAGGCTGAGGTGGGTGGATCATTTGAGGTCAGGAGTTCGAAACCAGCCTGGCCAACATGGTGAAACCCCATCTCTACCAAAAATACAAAAATTAGCTGGGCGGTAGTGGCGCACACCTGTAATCCCAGCTACTCAGGAGGCTGAGGCAGGAGAATCGCTTGAGCCTGGGAGGCGGAGGTTGCAATGAGCTAAGATCATGCCACTGCACTCCAGCCTGGGCAACAGAGTGAGATCCTGTCTCAAATAAATAAATAAATAAATACAAATAAAAATTAAAAAACTACCCTAAAACTTAGTGGCTTAGACCAACGATTTATTATTTCTCATGATGCCATGGGTTGCCTGGGTATTCCTCTGTTGGTTTCCCCCGGGCTCCTTCATGTGCCTGCATAAGTTAGTGACAGCTGGGCTGGAAGGCCTAAGAGGGCCTCCCTCCCTCACACGTCTGACAGTTGATGGGGAATGGTTGCTGGCTAGAGAGCCTCAGTTCTTCTCCACGTGGCCTCTCCTCTTCCACTAGGCCAGACTGCCTTCCTTGCATTGGAGTCTCAGGGCAGCTTTCCAAATGAACAAGGGCAGAAGCTGCCAGGCTTGTTAGGCCTAAGCTTCAGGACGCTTAGATCATGTCTACTGCATTGTATTTGTCAAAACAAGTCACAGGTCCAGCCCAGATCCAAGGGGGTGGTAAAACGAACTCCACTCCTCCAAGGGAGAAACAGCAAGGTCACACTGCAAAGAAGCATACAAACTGGGATGGGAGGAATTTATGAGCATAAAACAAACTAGCACGCTAGCATGTGAAGGCCTATGGAACTTGTTCTCTGTCAAGGTCTGTCCCAATCTGACCTGTGTTTTAGGATGATAACTCTGGTGATTTGTGAATATGAGTTAAAAAGGTCAGAGATTAGAAATAGGAAGCCCAGTAGGGAGTACATTTCAGTAGGCTAAGCAAGAAGGAAGAGGGCATTGTTCATAGGCTAGGGATGGGGAATGCATATGGAGAAATGGACATGAGATATTTCTACAGTAGAATTAGAGAGAGTTCAGTGGTTACTATATGCACTGTACCAGCATAGGTGATATAGGGAGATGCGAGTAAGATATTAGTAAGAGATAATCCAACCAACAAATAGATACTCAAATATTTGTCTGGTTAATGAGGAACTTAAAATCTTTTTTGGAAAAAAGGAAAACCCAGAACACATACACACAAAATGAAGATTCTAGTGAACTGCACACCTTTACTTCATCTGATTACAGAACCTCTCTTTCTTGTTTTTTTTTGTTGTTTTTTTTTTTTTTTTCTGAGGAGTCTCACTTTGTTGCCCAGGCTAGAGTGTAGTGATGCGATCTCAGCTCACTGCAACCTCTGCCTCCTGGGTTCAAGTGATTCTCATGCCGCAGCCTCCTGAGTAGCTGGGACTACAGGCGTGCACAACCATGCTTGGCTAATTTTTGTATTTTTAGTAGAGACAGGGTTTCAACATGTTGGCCAGGCTGGTCTTGAACTCCTGACCTCAAGTGATCTGCCCACATTGGCCTCCCAAAGTGCTGGGATTACAGGTGTGAGCCTCGGTGT